GACCTAATTTTTTGACTAAACACAATAAATATCAAGGTCAATTAGGAGACATAATTTTTTAATTATTATTATCGATCTTTGTTTTTGTTTGTGGATTTGCCCTTTATTTGCCTTCCCGGTGTTTGTACTGTCACTTTGTTTTCTTTTGAATGTTAAAAAAATGTTCATGTCAAATTCCTTACAGGTTCGGGTGGGTGCTTTGCGCGCGTACTCAGAAACGGTACTAGGTCAATTTGTGTTTTAAAATCATGTACGAGAACTGACCATGGCAAAATGAACAGCAATGGCCAGGTTCTGGCCATGGTTTATAAAACAATTTTTCCGTGGACAGACGATTTCATGGGCAAGAAGGCTTCCATGGCCACATCGTTCCATAAATCTATGGACAAGAAATGACCATGGCAAGAAGATACAATGATTCATGGTCAAAACGTGTCCATGAGAGCAGTTATGGCTGCCAGCTGGCCATGGAATTGATTTCCAATGGTCAGAGTGTCCACAGAAATTGATTTACATGGCCAGGATTGTGGCCATGGTATCTGAGTGTTCATGGTCAGAGTGCCCACAGAAATTGATTTACATGGCCAGGATTGTGGCCATGGTACGTGTGTGCTCATGGTCAGAGTGTCCACAGAAATTGATTTACATGGCCAGGATTGTGGCCATGGTATCTGAGTGTTCATGGTCAGAGTGCCCACAGAAATTGATTCACATGGACAGGGTTGTGACCATGGTACGTGTGTGTTCATGGTCAGAGTGCCCACAGCAGAGATTGATTTACATGGGCAGGGTTGTGGCCATGGTACGTGTGTGCTCATGGTCAGAGTGTCCATGGAAATTTATTTACATGGCCAGGGTTGTGGCCATGGTACGTGTGTGCTCATGGTCAGAGTGTCCACAGATATTGATTTACATGGCCAGGGTTGTGGCCATGTAAATCAATCTCTTTGGGCACCCTGACCATGAATACACACGTACCATGGCCACAATCCTGGCTATGTAAATCAATTTTTATGGGCACCGACCATGGTAAATCAATTCTATGGCCAGCGGGCAGCCAACTGCTCCCATGGACACACACGTTCTGACCATGAACCATTGTGCCTTCTTGCCATGGTCATTTCTTGTTCATAGATTTATGAAACGATGTGGCCATGGAAAGTACCTTTGACATTGACATGGCTGTCGTTTGGTCATGGTCTTAGGTGCATGGCTTGTCATGGACCAGGTTGTATTCATGGACGTGTCCCAATGGTCAAGGGTTGTGAGCATGACTCCATGCCCATGAACACAAACGCTCGCCGTGATAAACATAGACCATAAACACACAGACCATGAGGAAAACATCCCATGTCCATGACTAGTACAGTTGGCCATTGATTAGTTCTGTCATGGTCTTTGTGTCCATTGACAACAGTATCATGTCCAAACGTGTGTTCATGGACGTTCTACATGACAATGGTAATAGTAACCATGGACACATTTATGGACTTAGTTGTGACCATTAAAGCCAATTCTCCTGGTCATCCCTTGCCATGGAGCACATTAGCCATGGCCATGCAATCCATCCACCATATACTCATGGTCAACTGTTGTTTTCATGGTTTACTGGTTCCATAAATCTATGGTCACAAAAATCCATGGTTAAATTTATGTCCATGGCTCATGGACAGCCCCATGGTTTTTTTACCCAGGGGTGTTATGAGAGTGATATGAAATCACTGCTTTCGTATTTGGTTCTGAGAAGTAGAGCAGAGTTACCCAGTGGCTTTATCATACCATTGTGAGTAATACAAACCATCTCACCCAGTCAATTGCAATTGCAAATGCAGAACTTTTGTTTTGCAGTTTAAACTGGCAAACTACTACGCACTGAGATTAGCAGGGTAGGGAACAAGAAAATGTCTATTCTAAATTTGTATATTATAAAATAGTAGTCTATAGCAAACATAAAAGTGACCTTTATGCTGACTAATTAGTAAAGTGTTTTGGGGCATACACCACTCTGTCAGAAATTCTGTGGACATTCGCCTCTTTGTCAAACTGGTTCTTGGACATACGCCAGACTGTCAAAATATCCGTGGACATTCGCCTCTTTGTCAAACTTTCTCTTGGACATTCGCCACTCTGTCAAAATTTCTGTGGGCATTCGCCTCTTTATCAGATTGTACACGGACATAGGCCGTTTTGAGCTGTGAATATAACTCAGGCCCTATTATAGATATGTGCCGTTTGATTCTACTTGTGTATCATTTAATTTGGCATCACTTCCCTAAAAAAATGAATTTGGCAAAAAATTGGGCATGCGCCACTTTGTCTAAGTTTGCCTGACATCAGACTGCTGAACAAAAAATGCACTGCTCATCAGAGTAAGCGGGCTTCCTAGCCTAGCTCAAAAAACATAGAGGTCTGTTAGAAAAATCCACCCGCTAATTTTGATGAGCAGTGTATCTATAATTGGGATGCTAATTGGTCCACTGCTAAATTTAAACTTGCATCTGCCTGAGATGTGTAAAAAACGCCCCATTTTATGGACAATAAAAGTCCTTCCAGATTTAGTGTGAAACTTTCCTTATTTTCTCCAACCTGCAACAGAGTTTTGAAGTGTGTGTATATTATGGGCCTACCACAACACCAGCCAAGAAGTAAACGAATCAATTAACAGTTTGTCTGCAACGACAACACAAGAAAACAAGCAGGCCCACCCTTCCGCCAAACGCAGTTGCCAGCTCCACTTCGCTGCGCCGGCAACTCCGTTGGTGACACTCTGGCGTTATTACCTCTTCGTGTCCAAAACCACCTGCAGCAGCGTCACTGTCACTTTCACCGTTACTCTCAGGTTCAGGTGCTTCATTGTCATTTTCCTGGGAATAGAAAAAAAATACACATGATCTATTTATAACACATTAGACCAACTCAATTCTCAATAACAGAAAATAGACAATCTTAACGCTTAGATTTTAGGGTTGGTGTGTCCAGGCACTTTAAAGAAACTTGAACTGTTTCGCATTACGTTTTTGACTTCATGATAGGTTAAGTTTCTCGTGAGAAGACACCTTCACGACGAAGTATTTACCTCATCCTGAAACTGGAGATAGCCTAGGGAAGCAAGTATAAACGTGATAAGTCTCAGGGCACGAGAAACCTCTGTCTCCGGTTTAAAGAAAATCCCATCCTGGAAAAGAACAACAATATTCAGAGGGTGATTATCAGAAAAACTGTGCATACTCGTTCCAAAGCTTCGTCGAGTCGTCTGGATTGATGTACTCCCGTACAGAATTAAATCGATCTAGATTGTCTCGAGTCGAGATATTGTAAAAACAAACTGCAGACGCCGTTGAGTCTTTTTCGAGACTTTCTGGAGACGGTTTCAGAGACGGCGTTGAGACGTAAACTACACTGTTAATCGGAAGGTAGGGAAAATCCAAGGATGACGGTGGAAAAAAAATGTGGTAGGATTTTTCCCAGGTTCGGCTCGGGTCCGACCGACCCGGCCCTGACGTCGTACTTTTTCCAACCTTGAGGGGGGGGGGAAATTCCGAGGCTCGCGAGGTCGGACTTTTTCCGACGGCAGCGTCGGAAAATCAGCATACGATATGCTCGGAAATATTTTGACAGTGTGCTCGGCAACTGCACGGCCCACAGTAGGGAATTACCCCTCCCCACTGCATGGGAATGTCCAGGGGAGGGGACGGGACGGGGGCGAGGTGCAGCTAGGGTGCAGCGTGTCACCTAGTGTGGACATGCCCACAGTGCAAGCAAAAATTTTTTAAGTGTCGGCCAAAATTTTAACTTTTGAAAAAATAGTTTTATAGGCGATTTGAAACATTGTGAACAACATATCAAAAGAAGAGAGGACACATGTTTTCCAAATTAACGTGCGGAGTTTAGGACTTAGTCTCTTTGCTTGTCCTCGCACTCCCC